AAAAATGTCTTGAATGTGGGCACTAGAAGGGTCTTTAATATAATGTCTCCCAAGTTTCTAGAAAAATGTATAAAGAAATTTTCAAGGGGGGTTTACCTACTTTCCAGAAATATGTCAGGCGTGTTATGAATTAGCAGCAAACAGAAAAGCTTAATTCCTGTCCAGAAAGAGAGCAGAATGAAGCCAAAGTTCACAGCATAGGCTGAAAAGTATTAAATATGCTATGTATGCCTCTCCTCTCATTTTAAAATAAAACTTGTTGAGCTAGTGCATATTATGAAAGTTGTGGCAAAAAGGTGCTCAATTTATTTTAAAAATGAAAATTTGTAAAGTGTGGTGTCATTTGTCTTCAAGTGCATTTTGGGTAAATCTCATCAACATGTCATGTTCAGTCAATTGGCAACATATTGTAAACAAAGTGGAAAATTTTTACTGACTAAGCTAACATGAAAACTATATAAACATACAATTTGAGCGGTGGAAAGAAAGGGAAAACGGAGGGCAAGGATAGCATGTTACAAAAATGGACAGTTATTTTGTTCGTTGTCCTGCAGATTAACCTGAGCTCTTTGTTGGCAGTTATTTATCCCCACCTAAACTGCCAGCGCAGCCAGGGAGGCAGGTTAATTACACGTAGCCATACTAATAATCATCAGTATTCATAATGTGCAACTTCGTTGTAGACTGTTAGTGACTGTAAGTTGTAGTGGTCCAGGCACTGAGCTTATATCCCCTTTTTTCTCTCTCAGCACTGTGTAAAGGTGATGAAGTCAGGGAGTCAGCAGTTGCTAGCTGCTCCAGTGTAGAGCCGTACCTAGTGTCTGACCAGCAGCCCCCTCCTCACCTGTGCTGGATGAAAGCAGCTAGCGACAGATGACAGGCAGGCGCCGGACGATTAAAACTCTCATCTGGAATGTTTTCCGACTGATCAATTTTTGTTAACAACATCCAGGATGCCAGCATTAAAACATACATCCTAAAGATGAGTCCATGCAAACCCAAAGGTCCACTAACAATAACAAGCAGTTCTTTTTTGGAAAGTTATCACACCTCTAGCACTAAAACACAAATTAGACTTGAGTTACTGTGCTTTTTGCGAACTGAAATGCAGTGTATTATAAGAATTGCCTTGAGATGACATGTGTTGCAAATTGGCACTATATAAATAAACTGAATTGAATTGAGATAGGTCCTGGAGTGCATTATAAATGTCACTCTTACTCTACGCATTTAGGGGGTACATGGAAGTTCTAGGTAAGGGAAATGCCGGTAACTTTATGTCAATCGAGTTATTAGCCTGTTACAACCATGTTTAAAAGAGCTAATTAACCACCCAGAAGGGTCAGTAAAATAAGTGACCAGATTCATGATAAGATTATTGACATCATGTCTCAACAATTGTAAGCTGCCATAATTAGTTTCATTTCCATTAGTTCCATAATTCCATTGTCAAGGAACATGCGATATGTTAAAGATAGACCAGCTGAGCCAGGTGAACTGTTATGTGACTGTTAAGAATGATGATGGGCGCTCCTCTGTTAGTTAATCACATAAAATGTCTCACTCCCAGTTGCTAGTCATCTTGACATGATGATCTTTCTGCTTTATGGCACATTTTTGGTGAGATTATAAAAGCTCTCATCAAAATATCCCTGACCAATGACAAAAAGGGAAGAGTAGTGAAACAAGTGCACCCAAGAATGCTATAAGAACATTGTCTTTCCTTTTTTTTTTTTTTTTTTTTTGTCAACATGCAAACCAGGATTCTTGGGTATATAGACACTGCCTCACAGTTTAAAAGCATCTGCTCTTCTGTAAAACAACATCAGCGTTTTGATGGAATTTAGGGAGCAATTTGCTGAGGCTAAGTCTACCACTCTCATTCTAGCTAAAAATGGGCAAGTACAAGGCAGTTTGAAACAACAAGGGCCAGAAAAGTTTAACGTAACTTAGATGACTTTCTGATGACAGCCGCCTCACTGACGCATAGAGCAACCTTTGAGTGCATGGTTTTGGAAAAGTGGATGTGAAAATGATCCAGTTGTGTGATTTTATCAGTAGTCACCATGCAGACTAATGTTTTTGTTCCTAGCTTGGTGTTTTATATTTCATGTTCTTAATTGACCTCAAAATGGCATTCTTGTTTTAAGTGGTGCTGAAGCTTGTACAGCGTTCCTACAGCATAAACCAAGTTAAATTCAATACTTTTTTTAGTCTTTTTAATGCCGCTTGAAATAATAAGCTAAGACCAAGTTCACAATAAGCACAAGCAAAACAAATTTACCCAAATGTTTATTTTAACATAAACCATTACTTTTTGGCCCAGCAGAAATGTTTCAAATTTTGAAAAACTTTACATAGGAAGAAAGCTAAAAACACAAAAATAACATATATTTTTAAAAACTGCTGAACTGAATTCACTAACTTTGTTTTGTTCCCTACTGAAAGTCGAGAATACCTTTTCTTTCAATGTATGCATACCGCAGAACATTTTCCAGCGATTTGGTGCTACTGACACTGTTGTTGATGTTAGATATGGTTGTGGAGGCATTGCAGAGACAAGGATGGAATAGAACAGAGAAATACCTGCTGCTTCTTGGTAACTTGACTTTGATGATTTGTGTTTCATGCTTCACATGCCTGACTTCACTGCCTTGATTCCCATCGTGCCGAGCTTAAATATATTGTTTTTATTAGCTCCCCTATTGGGACAGAACCAATAATGGTTACAGCGAGCCGTTAGGTAAATATAAAAAAATCATTGTCACTTATTTTAATGTGTGATATGGATTACAAAATAAAATCCTATATATGACTTGGTAACAATTTTAAGACCTATGGAAAACTGATTTAAGACATGTTAATACCAATTAAGGCCTTAGTTTTATATTGAAGAACTCAATGCCTTTTAAGACTGAGGAAACCCTTCTGTAAGCCCCACTGTTGCAGGTATGTGTATGCTATAAGGATGAGCTCTATTAAAGGGCCCGGTAATTTGTTCCACCCCTAGCCCGGCTCTGATTATTTCCGCTACTGCTCAAGCCCTCTTCAGTTTGAAACCAAGGTTCTATGAAAGGAGCCAAGAGGCCCATGGTAACTTTAAGGGAGCTGCAGAGGTCCGAAGCTCAGATAAGAAAATATGTAAATAGAACAACTACTACTTGCACACTTTTATCAGTCTGGCCATTATGAGCACTGCCAAGAGAAAGCTATGAGAAACCCACATGTATCCCTTACAGTATACATGGAAAAGAGCTGTTGCACAAAGACCTGAAGGTAATACTGGAGCAGAATAAACGAAAGACAATGTTAGGTCAGAATATCTAGAGCCAAAGTCTACCCAGCTGCACCACACATCACTGAAGATCGATTGACATCTGGGGGGCACAGGGCAGCTGAACAAAGAGGAGGAAACAGTGCGGATGGACAGTGGGGTATGATTGTCCCCTCCTCACCGCACTTTTCTGTGCAAGTCAGAAACAAAGATTTAAGTTTTATAAACTTAACTCCCGCTTTGGATTAAAATTACAGAAAGAAATAGACCATTTCACAAAATTATTTCTGCCAGTTTCTCCACCTTGACTAAAACTCCAAATGTAGTTTATTCTGTTTAAAAAACAAATGAGAAGAAAGTTCAAGCTTGTTTCAGTCAGCAACAAAATGTAGGATTTTTTTACCCTAGGAGAAGAGGTTTCAGTTTTTTCAGCACTGTAGATAAAACATTAGAGAATGTGAGATTTCTGTTAAAAGTAACAATCATTTCCTTTAAGAAACAGCTTAACGTTTGATAATTATTAGGAAAATGTATGTGGGTTTTATTATGGCAGTCTAACTCTATGGATATGTGTGATCATGCTGGGGGTGTAAATGATGTAATGAGAAATGGACATCTAATGTTTTTGAGTTTTGAGCAAATTTTCGGCATATATTTTCTGTGTGACTGCACCTTCTCCCACAGCGGGGGCACCTGGCCGTTGTAGATATAATTGAAGGTCTCTTCCATGTCTGGTGACATCACCACATAGCCTTTGATGCCCTTCTCAAGCTCCTCCAGAGATGAACTAAAACACAAACACAGAATGGTAAAGAGGCAGAAACAATTGGACATTTTTATGCCACGTGTTCAAATTACATTGGTAGAAATATTAGCCTTCAGTTTTCTAAATATAAGGTTCTAGAGAATATAACCAATATGAAATTCAATAATCATTAAATAAGCTAAATCTATAATCTGTCTATGGCTTTTTACAATCAATAAAAAGGTAACTAAAAAGTACAGCTTACAATCAAACGCTGTAAAACCTCATTAATGGGTTCAATTGGTTTTGTCTCTTTCTACGTTAATAGAGAATGTTAGGTAATAGTTAGAACTCATAGAAACAGCTGCAATTGTGAAACCAAACACCTATGTAGACAGTAGCATAATGTCAAAGGGGTTTTATGGACTTATAAACATTATAATAAAGAAGTATCTTCTACCTTTTGCAGATGCTGAATATGGAACTTTGTGATAATGTAAGGAAAAATAAAAGAACAACTGATTCAAAGATCCAGATCAGAAAACAAAGATATATCTGACCCATTTACTATCCAATGCTTCTGAAAGCTGTTGGAGATAAGCATTACCTTGGAACAGAAGCTATTTACTTTTTGGGTTTTACAGTGAACTTTCTATTTTGCCGGTGGCCCTGGGCCGCTAAAGGCTAGTCTGAGTGCTTCCCAGCTAAAGGCTATGCTACATAGACACAAATTCCTCCGGAGAACTCTGTGCTCGCTGGATCGAGTCAAACTGATTTTTTTCTGTGATTCAGAAGGAGCTTGATGCAGTGTTAAACGCAGTGTCCTCTAAAGCCTGCTCAAGCAGAGACACAGAAGAGCTAATCCAGCTCTGCTAACCTAAATCTAACCCCCGACCAACCAGGCCCCCAATCGCTGTTCGGCGAAAGAACCATTAGAAGCTGGCAAAATCAATAAGTGCCTGACACGGCAGTCACGGGTTTATCAGCTGCTATTTTTAAATGCCACTTTCATGCATTAAGCCTTAAACAACAAACATCCCTCAGACTTTTGAACGGACTTTTAAACCCTTCTTATACTTTTATTTCTTAATTTTTGCTTATTTTCAGTAGTGTTTGTTGTTTGCATAGTTATTAGATATAATACTGTGTGATTGTAGCTAATAAAGGTACCATTATATTTTAATCCATAGTCTTTGTGGTTTTTTTACACAGTAAACGATTTATAACTAAGGCTGGATTCACTCTTTCAGTAGCATCCGAATGAACAGAGACACATTTATTTGGTTGGTGATTAATAGCATTGCTCATAGCCATAGTCTAAACTCCTAAATTGATGAAAGACAACTGGATTTCAAACAGCCAGATTTATGAGTCCAACCTTTTAGATAAGAGGCTAAAACCCCGTTCAGTAAGCAAATTACAGTTATAATCATTCAATGGATAATAATTTATTAGTTTTACCCTTGATTTTAATACCCTATTAATTGAATATAACTTTCAGTTCTATTTATTTAATAAATCCATAATATTCTGGTAAACTCTCACAATATTGGATTTTCTTCTTGTGTTAAAGATTTATGGTGTAATAAAAGATTGATGATTTTCAACTAACATGCAAAGAAAAATTATGTAAGAGAAGACATGCAAACACAGACAGCTCATACATGATAGTTTCCAGCAAGGAGTTATAGCTCTGGATCTCTTGCAGTAGGACCACTTTGAGGGGTGATTGGTTGTCTTGGAGCAAGGTCCTGGTTCTCTCACAATCAATGGGAGTGGGGATTTTCTTATGGAGATCTTTCAGCAGTTTCAAGACCTACACATAGACATACAAAAGACCCATACGGACTAAATAGGTTTGATAATAAAGAAAAAAAAAAAAAGAATCACATGTTCAAGCTTTAAACAGTTTTTTCACTTTAGGATTCCTGGATCTGCATCTTAGAAAATCTAACAGATGAGCATATGGCGCCACCGAAGTTGATGTGTTTGGTTCTTGTTTTTTAAATATTGTACATTTTAAGTTTACGTTCATCCAGTCTGAGGCGCTGCAGCCTCCACAACACACAGTGTGACAGCTGGTCAGAATGCTCTCTATGGAGCTTCTGCAGAAGGTAGCGAGGATGGGTGGGGGCAGGTGGGCTCTCCTCATCCTCCACAGGAAGTACAAGCACTTCTGTGCCGTTTCGATGGGTGAGGTGGAGTTTATAGTCCAGGTAAGGTTGTCTGTGGTGTGCACCTCCAGGAATTTGGGGCTGCTGACCACCTCTACAGCTGAGCTGTTGATGAGCAGTGGAGTGTGGTTTGGCCAGTTCTTCCTGAAGTTGACAATCAGAGTGAACAGCATGGGGCTCAAGACACAGCCCTTAAGGGAGCTTGTCCTTAGGGTGATGACATCTGAGCTGTTTTGTCCGACCTAGACTGACTGAGGTCTGTCTGTGAGGAAGTCCAGCAGCAGCCAATTGCAGAGAGGTGTATTGAAGCCCAGCTGTTCCAGTTTGGCTATCAGATGCTGTGGGATGATGATGTTGAAAGCTGAACTGAAGTCCAGGAACAGCATCTGTATGTGGGTGTTCTTCTCCTCCATGTGTGCCTGGCTCAGGTGAAGAGCAGAGGAGATGGCGTGAGATGTTTTACTCGCCATTGTTTGTCCAAGTATTTCCTGCTAAATTGGCTAGATGATGTCATCAATAACCTTTCTGGGTTTTACAATTTAGAGGGTTTCCTTTGGAGTAAAGCTTTGTTTGTTTTTCTTTGAAGTAACTTTTTGAGTTATCTTGTATCACATTGTTTATTTTGCAGACTCTTTCATTATGTAGATGAGTTGGTAAATTATATGAATAACTTTATTCTTGTTTCTCTGTTTAGACTTTGTTTTGTTTTTTTCTACCTGTTTAATTGTGGCTTGGTCCACTCAAGTGCAGGTGTGTTGCCAATTGGTTATATAAGCACTGTGCTCTTGGAAGCTCGGAAAAAGCTTTGTCAGAGTGAAAATTCTGAATAAAAGACAGAGAAATCTGGAACTGGTGGCTGAAGCTGTTTTTTTTTTTGTTCACCTTACTGATCCTCGACAAAACTACTTCACATTGTCCAGCGAGTTGTTAAAGATGTTTGTGAGGACACCAGCCAGCTGACCTGCACCCTCCTTGTACACCAGCACAGGTATGTTATCAGGCCCTGGGGCCTTTCTTGGGTTGACTCTCTTCAGAGTTTTCCTCACTTCACATTTGTCAATGTTGAGTGCCTCCTCCCCCGGGTGTGGAACAGCTTTCACTGCTGGAGTGCTGTTTTGTGCCTCAAAAGTCAGTGTTTGCTGCATCTAACAGGTGAAAGGGTGTTTTATAGTCTGTGATCACCAATATGCCTTGCCACATCCTCCTGGTGCTGCTGGCATTGTGGAAAATATCCTGGATATTTCGGCTGTGGTTCTGCTTCACTGATCTGATGACACAGTTTAAGTTGGCACTCGCTGTTCTCAGTGTCTCTTTATCACCAGACTTAAAAACTGAGTTTCGTGCTTTTAGAGATTTCAGAACCTCTCCAATTATCCAGGGTTGTTGGTTAGCCCGGATGGTGTTGGTTTAACCCTGATCAGTTGTGGCTTGTATGCAGGATTTAGCATGACCGAGAGGTGATCTGATGACCCGAGGTGGGGGCTGCTCTGAATGCGTCTTTGATGTTAGAGTAAACCAGGTCTAAAGGGTTTTCATCCCCGGTTGCAAAGTCCACATGAAAAAATGAAGGAGCACAGTCTTCAAATTAGCCTGGTTAATATCCCCAGCAATGATGAAAAAACCCTCTGTGTGTGCGCAGATTGGAGCTCAGAGATAGCCCTTAAAGAACTACTTGTCCTGAAATCAAAGCTTTGCTGATAAACTGTAAAAATAGATGTCTTTTAGTGTTGTCAGCATGTCCCAGGCGTTTTTCTTGACAACTTAACACATTAGTTAAAATCTTGCTTTTGTGTCAAAAACTGCCTGTTTGGCACCCTACTTGGGATAAAAAGAGGTTAGTGCATCTGATTCTTTACTAATAGCTTAGGAGGGGATGTGACCTCACCTAGGCAGAACTGATGTGAGCTGCTCTCTACTGACTAATCCTCTACACACAGTGGTTCACTAAGGGACTGAAAATTAAAATGAATGGTGATGTGCTTTATTATAAAATCTCCTTAACATAGTAAATACATATAAATTTGATAGCAACTAATCAGCTGTCCAGTCTTGCATAATCATTTGACATTAGTTTTCTGTCAGTCAAATGACTGAATGAGATGATTTAAAATTGGACCAAAAGGAGATGTTTCTTGTGTTTTGTTTGGAAATTTGACAGATTTTCCCATGAGAGCAGCTATATCTGGGCAGAGGAATCTTCTTCTCTTTCCCCCCATTGTCTCTGGTAAAGAACGTAAAAAGAAATCCTCCACCTCCCATGTGCACGTTCTCCCGCCGCATGTTCCTCTCGGTAACTTCCACCTGGCAGCATTTTTGAAATTATTTGTGGGTGAAAGTATTACTCTGGAGTCACGTTGGTTGTACTTTAATGAGTAACTTTTTTTGGATGGGTACTTTTTACTTTTAGTTGAGTGAAATCATTTACTCTAGCATATTAGCATATTATTTTAATGCTCTGCCCAATTCTGTTGAAGATGTCGATGACTGACCACCATGTTGGTAAAAAAATCATCATCCTCTGATTAGAAGACCAATTGTTACCAATATCAAAAGTTTCCTTCCTGCTTGACTTCACAATAAAATTCTCAAACATAGAAACAGACTCTCTCAAACTAGGTCCCTTTTAGCCAGTTAGTATATCCACTAAACATACTGGCGATTTATAGACCGTTACATCCCTGCATTGTTCCATCCTCAGTGACTTACCGTTTCTTCTTTGCTAGGCCTGGCCACCGCTGATGTGTCACCTGTTTCCTGAGGCTGCAAGGAGAGTAGCATGTTGAACAGCGTGCAGTTCTCTGTGATCTGGCAGGCAATTTCCGCGTTGGGGTGCTGTCCGAAAACCTCAGGGAGCTCAGTGGTTGGCAGGACTTCGATGGTTGTGTGGATCCCTGCCAGGGAACTGTCAAACGGAAAATAGAAGGTGGGTAAACTGGATAACCTAAGAGATTAAGCAGTGTGAAATGGATAAACAACAATGTAAGTACATAATTAAAAGAGACTAAAGAGTACTTAGGCATACAAATCCATCGGAAGCTTCACATACACACAATGCCTTAAATGTCAGGATAAATTTGGGCCTTTTTTTGCAGGATGGAATGTGGAACAGCAGCAATTTTTCAAAAAATAATTGGGAACATAAAGAATTTGGGACACATCATTGAATTGTGCTTGGATGTGTCCATTTGATCTATGGAAAGCAATGTCTACTACATCTGTGGTTACTTCTAACTTCATTCAAGTTCCTCAGAATGAGGAGAACATGCACAAGAGGTTCTGGTTCATGCAATAAAAAAGGTGATATATCAGAAAATAAACTTTTTATTTATCATCACCAGTGTCCGCAAAGTTCTCAGTAATTGATAATATGGGCAATTAAACTTTCCACCAAAAACTTATAATGTATAGTATTTAATATAATTTGATTGCTTTTTAAAGCTAATATAATTTCACTTTGACAAACGGATGCTGTTGGCATTCTTTTTTTTTTTGTTTGCCACATTTTCAATTATGGGGCTGGACGCGTTCGAAGCCTGAGGCTAGAAAAATAAAATAAAATTGAAGTTGCTCAGTATTTTGCCTGTGGGCAGCGAAGAGCGAGTCAATCACAAGTGATTTTGAAAGCAGTTTCAGATAATGTTGAACTATTGTAATTATTTGACAGCAAAGCAATATCTCTATTGATGGGACGTGAATAGAACGCAATCATCGAGGATGGGAAATCTGGCAGTTATAATTGTTTCACTAAAAAAAAAAAAATTCATATACAGTTTTTCAATTATTGTACCATTCATTATTAATGAGAGCAAATTGACATCTTACCAGTAATTGAGAATTGTCTTCTGTATATCTGACAACTTATTGTTGTTAATTTGTTTTTCTTTTTAGCTTTACCATATTTTATTTATTTGCTGTGAATAAGAGTCTTTGACCTGATTTGACTCTATTCAGCTATAAGAAACAAAAATCAAAAATATTGTAAAAAGGCATAGGCTACATAAGAATTTTGATATTGCTAATGTATATGATAAATAATCTTAATTAACTGCAAGGCAATCCGTGATCTTTAAAGACAGGTAGAAAATTGAACCTTTAAATGATTTTGCCTGAACGTTTTCTCAAGATGTCTCATTTTTCTACTAGGACTTCACTGAGTAACTACAGTAAAGAACAGTTTTAAAGGAAAAGTACAGTCACATTCAGAATACATAATTCTGAAAGTACTTAAAGTATGAAATTATTAAATACTTTTCAATAAATTATAAGTGTTTTAAAAAAAGAGTAATTTAATTTAAATGTGATTTACCGGAGACATCCGTGTTTGTCAAAGAACACTACTGCCACCTACAAGTTTGTGACGTCACGGTGCGGTATGGGCTGTTAAGCAAGTCCCAGTGCTTTATCTGGCGTTTGTCACAACGCTCTATTATCCTTGATGGTGACGACCAGTGCACTATGCAAAGCAAAGAGTAATGGATTAAAGACGTTATTTTTCTCTAGCCAGAAGTTCGATGGTAAATCCTCCCTCTTCAAGTTGGCAATCTAATGACGAACCCGTGGTGGATTATGAATTGTTAAGGTGAAATTATTATTATTTTTTATCAGTTTTACCTGATGTATTGCAACATCCAACTGCCATGACCGTGGGAATTGTCAGTTTAACTATAGCTCTCAAAAATTTCAATTGTGAAGTCCTCTTGAAAGCTTAAAAAATCAAGGGGTTTCTGGTATTTCCCATTGATTTTGCTTGAAAAGCGGGGAAAATGGTGCTAGGCTTACCGCACCGTGACATCACAGCCGGAAGATGTCAGGAGTGAGGTTTTACTATATTTGGGCAAAAAATATTGGTTTTATTTTTTAACTGATTAATGCTAAATTTATTAAATCACCACGATGGTATTAGTTTCAGGTATTAATAATGACACATTGGTTATTCCTTGCTCACCGGACCTTTAAATTTAATACAGGAGGAGGAAAGTTAAATAACCATGTCCTAGCAAGCGACAATAACAGATCACAGGTTCCTTTTATAATAACTAGAAAGTCTTTTCAGGCAGATGAAATGAACATTAATATCATAATTGAATATCAATCATGAAGAATTAGTACAAAGAAAAGACCAAGAAAAAAACAAAGACAAATTTGATCTAAGTGTCTTACTTGTAGCGAGTTACAGCCTCTTCACAGAAGTAGTCATTGAAGTATGTGTTCATGAGACGTCTGTCCCACTCATCTGTGATGTGGCCGCCGTAGATGACACCAGCAATGAGGCACCTGAGCGCATCCCAAGGAACCTCCTCATATTTTTCCAGGTATAAACAGAGCAGACTTTCACTCGCCTAAAAAATTTAGCAAAGATCAGGTCTTGACACATAAAAAACAAGACATAAGGACAATGTTACAATGGAGTTAGTCAAGTTAAAGTTAGCAAACCCTGTTTATAAAAGTACATGAAGTGCTGCTCATTGAAATAAAATGATGCACAAAGCTCTATTAGAGCATCTTCTTTGGCTGTTTGCTGCTGTGGAGCACAAAGGTGTGTTAGTACCATGCCAAGATGATAAGAAATCAGCAAAGCCTTTGAAAAATTCTTGCTACAGAGAGATTATTGATTGTAAGAGAAAAATATTTAAGACAGCTGCCTGACCATTCCAGGAGTAGAGGAGTAGAAATTCTGCCCAGGTCTGGCGGGAGTAATGCTAAGATGTAAGAAGCTACAGGTATTGGCATGTTTCATGTTGGAGTAAGATGGAAGTTCACATCTGAATAAACCACAAAAATTCAGGAACAATATTGTTTAGAGAAATGTGGCTCAAGTTGAATCAACTGAAAAAATAATGCACATCTCTGTGCTTGGGGAACAACACTATATTGTCAGTAAGTGCTTCATACCATACCAGAGGTATGGTGGCCTGGGTTGTATTTCCAAATGATGTAAAATGTGAGACAATCATATCTTGGTTAAAACAGTTTGGTACACCACAATAATTTCTCAATGCAGTCATTGTGTTGCGATGGCCTGGTCAAAGTTAAGCCCTCAAATAATGGGAATGAAGTGATGAACCTTGGCTGGGCAGACATGACTGCACACCTCAATGAACTAAAGCAACGTATCGAGAATAAGTTAGCCAAGTTTCCTTCACAAACATGCTGGAGACTAATATTGTCAGAGAAGAAGTGATCGATCAACTGAGGGAATGATATCCAAAATTCTTCTTTGCAAAACTTTTCTGCTCAAAGTACAAATGAGTTCAAATCTAATGTTTTACAGTTCTGACCTCAAAGTCTGAATCACTGAAGCTGTAGACAGCGTTCCAGCCCATTTGCCGGAACTTCCTTCTTTCCAACATGATGCTGTGAAAAAAGCAGAGGGAATACAGAAGCTTCTCGTAGAGCGTAGGTTTGGTGCAGCGGGTCAACTGATTTTCCGTCATCATATGGTACAGATGTTTCATGTTGGCTTTTAAGCCCTGCAGACACAAGGCAGGTAATATGTATTAAAGAAGCACTAGGAAAAAATGCTTTTCGTTTTCAGAGCTTATGTACCTTTGGTTGCTCGATGGTCATTGTGATACCAGCCTGAAGAATCGTGATGGGAAACTTAGGGTGTGGTGAAGAGCTGAGCCAGAGTCTAAAATTTGGGTTGGTCTTCTGCACCTGTAGCTCCCTTATCAGCTTGTCCAACTCCGGCATCCATGAAAGACACAGGTGGCAGTTGGCAAGGTACACCCAGTGACCTGGGAAGTCGGAGGATAATTTCTATCAGCTCAGATTTTGTAGAGTTCTGTGGAAACATCTCAAGTGGTCACTGGAAGTTTTTCTGGGGGCTTTTTTCTAATCCCTCCTTTTCATTTCTTTAAATTAAATTTGATGTAGACTGAAAGCAGACAGATGGGTAGATCGCTGATTTCCAACTTGGAGTGGTCGCCTTGTGGTTAAAGAGCTGTGCGAGGCTGCAAAGCTTGACAGTTTAAAGGCCTCTCTGTGTGACAGCTTCCTGTGCAGCACATGAAGGAGAAATATGACCCCATTATAGTGCTATAGAGCACAGGCGTAACTTTCTGAAGGACTGATGTGGACATGTCCCCACCAACTTTGGCCTGGTGGGGACAGTCCCCATGTATAATTTCCAACTTTTTTCCTTAATCTACTTAAGCCAAAGGTATCAGAATTGGGTGCAAAGGTATCAGAATTGGGTGCAGCTATCTGTGTTTTTTTTCCTCTCACACACTGCTTCCATGTCCTGCCTCTCTGTGTAACATCGTGGGATTTGTCGCTTTGAGACACCTGATTTGTGGTCACATTTCACTGATGTACAAAGTAGCTACGTGGTTGAAGAAGAGAAACTCAGCAGCACTCAGTGAATATTTACCGGCAGCTACTTCGATGTTTAAGTAAAAGTTAGGAGACGGGTTGGTTAGAAAAACCCTGCAACCATAGGAAAGCATTCAATAAATATATGTTTCAGCTCATTTTTGGAAAATGCAAAAGCGTTTGGGTTGAGTAACTGTAGCTCCATCAGGCCCTCCCCGAGTGTCCCCTCCAATTTTCATCACAAAGTTACACCCTTGCTATAGAGGGATATTTCTGTTATATAGAAAATGTTTTGAAGGTAATTCGAAAATGAGCTTGAAAATTCCAAGATTTTTCTACGCTCTCGTCCACCTCACATACTAATGCACACCTGGGAATTAGCACTCCCTTAGTCTCTGTATGGATATGGATGAATGACAGTAATGATGACAGCAGTAGGTCCCATACCACTCTTTACGCCTTCCTCTATCAGACTCTTGGCGATGGGTGCCTGTCCCTGCCCCAAAGACAGAGCTTTAAAGCATTCTTTCATGCCTGAGGCCTCGGCAAGCTGCATCAGAGCTCCTTTAGGATCAACCCCAGGGGTCAGCAGGAATATCAGAGGAGTGCAGCAGGTGGATTCATCCACCACCTGAGTACACAGAGAGGGGATGAGTCGGGAGGGGTCAAGACATTCAAAAAACATTTAATTAAACAGAAACTTTCAAATTTGAATCAGAAAAGTCTTGCCTCGTTTTAAAATTTAAAACATTATCTGGAACAGCTGAAGCTGCAGAATCAAATGGACAGCAGAAGAAACTTACTGCCTTCATGTCAAGAACAGGTGGATCCTGAAACTGATCACCCAGTTGGTAACAGATGAAAGATCTGATGCAGAAAGACAGGCGGTCTTGGCGTAGAGAGCGCACTATCAGTAGTTTCTGAAATACATTCACTTTGTAGTCCCAAATATCTAGAGGATAAAAGCAGTGAAACAGGGATTTTTAGGTAGAAAACAGACCAGATATGAAATGAGACAAAAACTTGAAAACGAAAAGAAAGACAACACCAATTGAAGGAAACAAAACCCTTAAAACTGCTATAAGTGAAAAAAAAACATTTATCTTTATTCCATATTTACCTGAGAAAATTCTGCACCTCCCACATTAAAAAATCTTTTTGCTTTTTCTACAGATATATATAGCACAAAAGCTAAAACAAAGCTTCATAGCAAGTAGGCCTACTTTGTTATAAAATGACAAACCATAATTTGTTAACATAACAAAGTGCTTGTGTAAAAAAAAAAAAACAAAAAAAAAACAACTCAACACCAAAGTGTTAAAAAACAAGGTTTTAATGACCTAAGAAGGCTAATCGGTGTCCATATTGAGAATGTTGAGAATATCATAACACATGTCCATCAGGAAAAGTATATATATAAAGCCTGATATAAAGCCTGAGCCTAAACTACAGGTAAAGTGACACACAGCATATAAACAATAGACAGTTTAACCCCTCGCTATAAATCTCTGCTGGATTTTAACATTGTAGGTTTTTTTAAAAACAAATAAAAACCTATGAGTGGCAAGCATTTATATTAATCCCCTTCAAATTACTCTCTCTATAAAAATAGCAATTGTGTGAAGGCCAAGGTGGTTTGGTTAAACAAAGTCAGAGAACAGCTGATTGGTTAAAGATAAAGTTGAGTAGAACATAATGGCAAAGCTGGACTGTTAACTAACCCAGAGCAGAGTTCAATTCTTCATTTTAAAATGAGAGTGAGTTTACCATGACTAAAAAGCAATTACAGGCACATGTGGAACAAAATATAACAGAATTACGCCAAAATTTTGATAAAGATCCTCTAATCAGATCAGACCGAAGCTGAACTTTACGAATTTAAGGAAATTAACTATGTGTGGCAAAAAACTGTTGTGCATATTTCACTAAATACACCATAGCCACATAGCACAGCATAGTATCATGCTATGAGGAAGATGCTAAATACAGGAAAATATCTTAGAAGCTACACAAGGAATGCTAAATAAAAACTTCCAGCAGGGCCTCAACTCTAAACATAGAGCCAAAGCTACACAATGGTTTACATTGAAGCATATCAAGCATCAAGCCTGTGTTAAAATACTTCAGTCAAAGTCTAAACCTAAATTAAATTAGGCATATGTGTCTAATCTGATAAAATGATGGATCCAGTTGCTATCCATCCAGGCGACTGAACTGGGGGGAGTGTTGGAGTAGTGGTTAGAGCAGTGCGCTTGTGTCCTGAAAAGGTTGCAAGTACCCGTTCTATTCCTTAACTCTTGGTTCCTTTAGGATAGACCCGTAACCCCCACACTGCTCCCAGGGCGACACACAACGGCAGCCCAATGCTCCCCAAGGGGATGGGTTAAATGCAGAGATACATTTCTCCATTGTGAGGTCAATAAAGTTAAATTCCTATTATTATTATTATTATTATTATTATTATTATTATTATTATTATTAATACAATACAGGAATAGAAGAATGGGAATAATGTTCCCTTTTCCTGGTTTGCAAAGCCGGTAGAGTAGAGACATACCCCAAAGTACCCCCAGTAAAAGAAAGGTTCTTCAAAGTACTGACTCACCTTGTACTAATTTAAATCTTTCACATATTTTTGCAGAATCCTTTTTCAAAAAACGTTAACTGTTTCATTCAATTAATTTCATAAATAAAGATATGTTTAGTAGTCTGTCTAAATTTTAACTTAATGAGGCTTTAGGTTGCAATGCAATGTAATACAAGGTGGAAAGTTTTTATGAACATATCTGTGAGAAAAAGCTAAATTTATTCAGATTTTCTTGTGCCTTGAAACATCCAATCATCTTGGAATCAGTTCAAGTGGAAGAGTGCCCATCAAAGAGCACAGGACAGACCTGGTAGTGGTGCTTTCTCTGGCTCAGGGTTGGTATACCAGAGCTTCCAGTCTCGAAGACTACTTTTAAAGGAGTGCACAATGCCATTGAAGAAAGGTAACTTATCCAGCTCTGTGATGTTGTCCCAGCTGGAGTCTGACAGCCAATTGCTATATGGATTTTTAATGCGATCATCATTATCAATGACCTGTCAATAAACCAAAAGTTAGATCTTTTCTGCTTTTGAAAAACTGATCTGCCAATTTGTAAAGGCTTGAGATATAGTTTTGTCCCAAACACCAGCTGTTCTGAATCATGATGTTCTGAACTTTTAAAAAGGGAATTCTATTCCTACAATGCTACGTTCAGACCGAACGCTGCTGAAGCAGCCTGTTTACATGCATAGTTAATGGTTGATATGCATCGAGGCGCATCAAAAGGTCCTGCATCGCATTTCAAGCAGCAGGAGCAGGCGCAGCACTACTGATACAGATCGCTATGATCACTCCCCTGAAATAGTTTATTAAGGCCTAAATTTACTTAAAATGTTGAAACCTGCCAACAAAATATGTTTGCTTTCATTATTCTGGTGTGTACAGTTTTGATTACATACATGAAAACTGATAAAATCTTCCAGCCACCACTAAGAGTAACAAACCCCCCCCCCCAAGAGGCAACAAGGCCAGAGGCAGCTGTTGAAGGGGATTTCCAGTGACAGCATGTTTTGTGCTGGTTGGGCAGTGAAATAATATCAGGATCATAATCTTGATGATATGAATGTACAGGTGATGTTTTGAGGTGGACTTTCTCTCTTAAAAACATATTAAAACTATTTTTGTGTACAAGCAACAACAATTAAGCAGCATAAGCTGCTTCTATCGTGTGCGGTCTGAATGTAGCATTAGGCTACCTTAGATTAGATCTTATAAAGAATGTGGTTTGTGTGTTTCTCACGACTCCTCCTCGAAGAAAGAATCTGAGCTCATCCATGTTGAGATGCGTAGCAACTTCTGGGATTTTTATGCACATCTGGAAGCTGAAGATAAGCTTGTGAACCTCAAAGAGACCCTGGCAGGCATACCTAAAGCAAATAGGACAGCAAAGGATTAGAAAAACAGTGTAAGTCAGAGAAACTTCACAGAATGAAGCTAAGGTCCACAAAAAGATAACATTGTCTGAAACTGTTCACTTCAATGCAGTTGAAGAGAACATCTGAAACCTTCTTACCTGTACACAGCATATGTATGGTAGTCATTGAGGTTGCGGATCCGTTTTTCAAGATCCACAGTGTCTTTTTCCATGCTTTTTGCTATGTTCACGGTAAACAATTTAATATAAGCATCCAGAGAAAACTGGTACATAGGGTCAATGAGGCTCATGTCGTTCAGGATGAAGAACAGAATAGAGGCTCTCTGAGCACATGGGCGGTAGGCCTGTTGGGAGAGCAAATGTACAGCTGTTAATGAAGGGCAAAAAAAGAAAATCTAATCAAGAAATCTAATCAATTTATATTTAAAGAACTTTGGACTCCCCTGACTTAAAAAGACACACTAAAAGTACTGGCCATATCCCATCTCTACACTGATCTCCCATCCTGACCTCTCTGGCCGAGTCTATCTTTAGCTCGGTCTGTTGGCTTCTGTCCAGCTGCTCAGAAATGGTGATGGCTGTCTCTTTGGAAACCAGCAGGGTGTTTATTAGTTGCACGTCATCCAGCAGAGAGCCACTGGCTTCGTTCAGTTGCCTGTTGGATCAAACCGGAATTAAAACTGCAAAAAATTTTGCAATTTAATGAAAATTATTGAAATAGTTAAGATGTACAAAAAGCATTTAAAAATCCAGATATTCTTAAGTAATATGTCTCTTATTCCCTCTTTCATTTGGCTGACACTGAGAATTATTATACATCATGATCAAAGGATGTGAACTGTTGGAGGCAAACAGTTTGTTTTTTTTTAATTTAAAGGTTCACTAATTTTGCAGAGTTTTGCATGTTATGCATTCTAATATGCCACACATTGATAAAGCATGACAGATCAATTTTATCATTGTACTAAAATTCAATTCAATTCACTTTATTTATATAGTGCAAATTCACAAAATATGTAATCTCAAGGCACTTTACAGAGACAATTCAACCAGATCACACAGTCAGATTGGTTTAAAATTTTCTGTCTAATGAAAAGCAGTTGATTGCATCAGCTCCTTGACTCCAAGGCGATCCCTTAAAAAAACTTGCCATAAAGGGTTTTATATAATGTGTAAACACCTATTAACAATATTTGAACAATGGTTCCAGATAAACTCCCTTTAGATACACTTCAGTGCACGCAACAAGGGTCTGTAACACACAGACATCATCAGTTCTCAGGTGAATATATGCGCTGTTAATTAAACTTCACAAAAACACTAAGAATGTAGATTTGGTCAGCTGGCATGAACCTGAGTAAGCCGTGTTTATGTCACATGTGACTCTATTAGCCTCAAAATACTTTTTGCGCAAACCACAAGGAAATACTTATATTATTATACTATTTAAATGTTATTGAACAGTTCTCCATTACACAAAGAACAAAAAAAGAAGAAAAATACTATGGCTACGTTAAACTGCTTGAACAGATATAAAAGTGCACGGCGGCACCATACTCTTACTTTGAGCTACAGGCAGGGTGGCCTCGTTACCAGTGTCCAAATGTTTAGGTGCGCACTGGGGTTGTGCAGTTATGTCTCTCAAAAGTGGACGAATCCAAAATGCGTTTCTATGCTATATTTCCTCGTTTCTGTCATTAGACTATGTAAATTTACTGGTCTGCTGCCGCTAGTGGGAAACCACCCTCTAGCTTGTTTGACATTGCCACGACAATGTAACTTCCATGAATTTGAGTTGATTAGGCCTCAAAATAATTCAAATAAAATCCAAATACACATAATAGTAAAATATAAAAGTCAAAATCATTTCCCAAAATATTCATAAGAAATTTATAAATTGTGCAAAGTATTTTCAATAATTTTTTTTTAAATGTCCCTCTCGACATTAATGGGGTGCTGCAGCACCTAAAGTGACAACCTTGTGCTTATCAAGATGTTTAACAGAAGCTGCACATTTAGATTACAAGAACAGAATTTCAGACTAGAGTTTACTTTATGAAGTATCATAAAGTCCCCTAGACAATCATTGAGTACTTTTTTGTACAGCAGTGTGCATATAAAACACATCAAATAAAGAATTGGATGTAGAAACCTGAGGATCTTATCCTCCAGATCTTGCAGACTTTGCTTGTGATCTGCAATGCTGATCACCAAAGAGTCCTTCTGCTGCTCCAAGTCTGAACGCTCCATTCGCACCAAAATTCCCAGCAGCTGTGATTCCAGACCCTGAAAACCCAAAATCCCGAACGACAGGCAGGCATTATGAATCAGTTTTGAATTTAAATTTGTACACAAAGCAAGTAATTAAAAAAACTAAATAAACACACACCTGCTCCTTGACAGCAAAGTTAACTATGGTGGTCTTTGAAGCAATCTCTGGTCTGAAGTGGGGGTTAGGCATCTTGGTGGTAATGTAGAATCTGAACTCGGGGTTGTATTCTACATTTTTGTCACACAGCTTTAACATCAGCCTCCCATCTGGGAAGGAGGAACCACAAGAAACTCAAATTTGGCATTTAGAGAAGCTAAATTTGACTTAGTGTGCGTGTATGTGAGTCACACCTATATGTATGAAGGACTTGTTGAGAACAGGGTTGAGAGAAGGATCCAGTTCCTCCTGGACGTTCTGCAGCAATACAGGATTCCCATCCTGGATGGCATTTTCTAGAATCCGTAGGAAGTCTGGCATTTGAAAGTCTATCACTTTTAGATCCTGGACAAGAAGGAAACAGCCTTTTCCAACAAAGTTACAACCACTTTTATGCAATCAAACACAATGTAAGGATCACTATAAACTATGGTCTTACTATAGTTGCTAATATAGACTGCTCACGTAATCTGTTGGTTTACTAGTGAGTTTTAGATGAAAATGCTATAGATGATTGTGACGAATGTGAAAGAGAATGTTAGATAAAGCTACATGTTGTTAGAGCCTTACAAAGCGTTTAGTGGAAAAATACTGAACAGTTTTATACAGATACCATGTCTTATAAAGAAGTCCTTTATAGGTTGGGATTGATAAAGAGAAATGTCTGTTATCTGTATCTCTCCTAAGCAGATTCGCAGTCAGTCAGCCTCCTTGGTTGCTGAAATCTGTTGCTTTGAATAGGTTTTGTGTTTGGCTATTGAATCATGATAAACATGCTTTTGTAACCTCTTTAGAATGAGTTTTAGATGAGAGTTGTATATGCTTGGAAGCTGAAACCGAAAGCCGCCCCATATTTTCAAAACGGGGGTGATTGTGGGGAAAAAAGCTGACCAAAAGCCTGATTGTCTTGGATTGTCATTTTCTACCAAAAACATGAGAGACAGCAAACATCCCTTGCGGTGGTGTGCCAAGTGTTTATAAAGATGGTGCTCTGTTCAATCTGCACATGTAGTGTAATCAGGCAAGATACTCAGTACTGATCTCTGTAACAATTTCTTTGTCTTACTTAGGTTTGGAAGCAGTAGGAAAGCAGCAGAGATGGCAAAAGTACTCACTTTCCGTACTTGAGTAAAAGTACAGATACTTGTGTTAAAAAATACTCTGGTAAA